TCCTCCTGGCGGGGGGACATGAGCAGGGGGACGTGGGGACCTGTCCCCTCCTGACGGCGCCGTGGGGCAGCGTGGGGACGTGTCACCCCCTGCACGTGGCACACGGGGGTCCTGGGGGCGCCCGGGGGCCGTGGGGACCCCGTGTGACGCGTCCCCGTCCCCAGCTGGGCCGGCGCATGGCGGAGCTGCCCGTGGAGCCCATGTTGGCCAAGATGATCCTGGCGTCGGAGCAGTGAGTGTCCCCGTGTCCCCCCCGGCGGGCCTGCGTTGACGTCCCCATCAGTTGGGTTGACGTCCCCATGGCCTCACTTGACGTCCCCATTGCTGCATTGACGTCCCCATGGCCTTGGTTGACATTCCCGTTGCCATACTGATGTCCCCATAAGTTAGGTTGACGTCCCCATGGTCTTGGTTGACGTCCCCATTGCCGTGTTGACGTCCCCGTGACCTCACTTGACGTCCCCATTGCTGCATTGACGTCCCCATTGCCATGTTGGTGTCTCCATGCCCACATTGATGTCTCCATTGCCGTGTTGGTGTCCCCATGCCCACATTGACGTCCCCATTGCCGTGTTGGTGTCCCCATGCCCACATTGACGTCCCCATTGCCGTGTTGACGTCCCCGCTGCCCCGTTGACGCGCCGTGGCCGGGCTGACGTCCCCGCTGCCACGTTGATGTCCCCATTGCCGTGTTGGTGTCCCCATGCCCACATTGACGTCCCCATGGCTGGGTTGACGTCCCCATTGCCGTGTTGGTGTCCCCATGCCCATATTGACGTCCCCATTGCCACGTTGACGTCCCCATTGCCGTGTTGGTGTCCCCATGCCCATGTTGACGTCCCCATTGCCGTGTTGACGTCCCCATTGCCGTGTTGGTGTCCCCATTGCCATGTTGGTGTCCCCATTGCCATGTTGACGTCCCCATGGCCGGGTTGACGTCCCCATTGCCGTGTTGGTGTCCCCATGCCCACATTGACGTCCCCATTGCCATGTTGACGTCCCCGCTGCCCCGTTGACGCGCCGTGGCCGGGCTGACGTCCCCGCGCGCCCCCCAGGTACGGCTGCACGGAGGAGGTGCTCTCGGTGGCGGCCATGCTCTCGGTGAACAACGCCGTCTTCTACCGGCCCAAGGACAAGGCGGTGCACGCGGACAACGCGCGCATGAACTTCCACGTGCCGGGCGGCGACCACCTCGTGCTGCTCAACGTCTACAGCCAGGCACGGCGCCACGCGGGGGGCAACGTGGGGGGCAGCGTGGGGGGCAATGTGGGGCACAATGTGGGGTAC